AGTCGTTTTTGATAATCCTCCACAAGTTTTTCACACTATGCTGGAGATATTTTTGCCTACTCCTGCTTGCAGATATCCTCTAGTTCCTGTAAGTTGGAAAGATGTATTCAATGCACAGCAATTTTCAAGTCTCTCCACAGATTTGAGTGGATTTAGGTCTGGGCTTTGGTTTGGCCAATTAAGGACTTTAATTTTGTTTCTTCAAAACCATTCTTGGGTTGCCTTTGAGCTGTATTTGGGATTGTTGTCCTGTTGAAATGTAAACCTTCGATTGAGTTGTAGTTTTTCAGCTGCCTTCTTCAGGTTTACCTCCAACATCTGTGTATATTTTGCACTGTCCATGATCCCTTAAATGCATACAAGTTCTCCAGTGCCAGCATTATGGACCCACCATCATGCTTCACAGTTGGGACTGTATTTGCCAGGTCATGAGCAGTGTTGGGTTTCTGCCATACATATCATTTGTCATTTAATCCAAAAAGTTCTATTTTAGTCTCATCTGACCATAGAACTTTCTGCCACATTGTTGTAAAGTTATTGAAATGTTTACGGGCATAGTTCATTCGTGATCTAAGATGCATCTTTGTCAGTAGTAAATTCGTTCTTGCCACTCTACTTTACAAGCCTTTTTTATGTAATGTACATGATATTGTCAGGGTGTGTACAGTAACTCCAGTTGCTGCTATTTAAGTCTGCATTGCCTTCAGTGTCACTGTTGCCTTGAAAGTTGTTTCTCTGATGATTTTTCTGCTTGTTCGAGTTCAGACTTTCTTAGGGAGAACTAATCTTGGCAAGTTTGAGTTAGTGTGACACACTTTTCATTTCTTTACAACCAATTTTACAGTACTTAATGGCAAATTGAAAACAAATAAAACTGATTTATAGCCTTAGCCAGAATTGTGCTTCTGAACAATCTTTTCCCTTAGGTCTGTAGAAAATTCTTTTCTCATCATTCTCAATATGTAACAGTAAACTAAATTTTAACTTTCAAAATACTTAAATCAATATTGATGGCTGTATATGACCTTAAGTATTTTTTCACATGGCTCTATATCTATGTGTTATATCACTAAATGAGTAACAGTGCACCTTTTGTTCTTTGTAATCTTTAGAAACTGGTCTGAGATTAATATAATAAATATTTTTGGACATTTGAGTTATATTCATGTCTTTCACAAGAAAATACCTAAAATTTATTACCAGCACAGGAGGGAGAAGACTTTTGCAATGCACAGTATGAGTGGAGTTAAGGTATCATATTGAAAGTTACAATGGGCGAAGAGTATACTATGGGTTCTCTTCTGATGACTTCTGAAGAGTACTCATCTAAATAACTTTTGCACCGGTCCCTCCACCTTTTCAATGTGGGATTCTAGTTATTATATGAGTGGAGGTAAGGTATTGTATTGGAAATTATATTTTCCTACACTGCAAATGTATTGCTGAAAGATACATACCTCTCTCACACTTCCCACCCATCCTTTCCATTTCCAATGAGTTTTTTCGCTAAGTGATTGTGCTCTACAGTAGAGAGGAAGTCAGCTGCACTAGGAGGGTTTTTGCAGATTCATTTGCATGCTACAACACAGCTATATCACATTTAAACGTGATGTTAGGTGGAATCATCACAGTTAGTGGTGAGCAAAAATTGCACATATAGAGGGCAACAAAAACTGAGAAAAGCTGTTATGCAAGTGGAGGTGACTAGTTATCAGAAACACATTTTTAGTGTAGGAAAATATTGACTTTTGGCAGGGTAGGTGTCATTTTCACCAAAGACATTATTATTTTTCTAAGGTTATCAGTTCCTATTTTGAATGGGTTTCCTCCAGATGTGGTTGATACAGTAAACTTAAGGGGCTTTAGGAAATGCTTGATAAATATTTAAATGATAATTAAGGGCTGGCTTTTAGGTTGTTTTGCTAGTTTATCAGATGTGTTAGTTTCAATGGACCACCATGCCTCTTGTCCTTAAGTGTTATCTATATACTGCTAAAACTCTGAGATTGTTTGTTTGTTTGCTTGTCTGTAATTAAATACAGCAAAAACGGCGCACAATAGCACCATATTTGTAAGAATACGGTACTCCTAAAATGAGAATAGAAACAGAATAAAACAAGTTTCGATAAAATCAAGCCATGTTTACCAAGTTAGCGCCGTTTCTCGGATCACTTTTATGAACATTTCTAGCATGAGTAATTTTACATCAACATCACACTACTGTTCGTGCTCTTTATGAAACTTCTTAGTTCACTTTTTTGAAAAATGAATGGTCTTTCCTTTTACTACTGATCAACAATCCGATTGGATGGAAATATTTAATTAAATTATCTCAAAATAAAACTTTAAATCGGTGCAATATTGAAATTAGCTTGAATTCTTCATAATCTTTGAATAGTGGGTGGTCTAGTATGTTATAAATATATCCTAAAATTATTTTAATCTTAATAATGCCAACATAGTACTTCAATCATAGCTTCAGTGACTTCTCTACCGGTATATCAAAATCTTTTTCTTTTTTTTTCCATTTAAAGATTTTACAGGAACAACTATACATACAGTCAGGGATAAATTACAAAGTGTGGCATAGACATTCTTGCATCAAACAAAGTATAGAGAAAGTCTGTTGAGGAAGGTAAACAAATTTGACATTACAATTAGAAGTACCCAACAATTCCAAGATGATACACACCTTTTCACACAAAAAGCTATCTTCCCCTTGCATCTGCCTTACAGACTTACGTGCCACTACCCTTTAAGCAACTGCCACCTAATCTCACAAGTTTTCTTTTGAATTGTGCTACTGCACAATCTCGTAGTCTTTTCAGTTCCTATTCTGGTTGTCTTTCTACATGGGCCATCTATCCATTTGAGGGGCATGGCATTCAGTAATGGTCAATCTGTTGCCACTATCCTCCTGGTTGTCCTGCCATTGGACCTCTCCCTTTTCCTTTACATGGTTGTTCAACAGGATTCAACTGTCTCCATCATTGCCAGTTATTGGGTGACCTTGTCTTCAATATTTTACCCTTCTTAATACCACAAGGTGTTTCCTCTCCTGTTTTCTTCACCTTGTTCTGTTGTTTCCTTATCCATAGACATACACGCCCTGTTCAAATGCCTGACTGAGACCTCAGTATCGTCTAGCATGCCCTTTTTTTGGGCCCCTCGAGCTGTTAGCAACCTACAATCTCTACCATTTTTAAGACGCATTCCTCTTACTTCTTGACTGTGGTTGCTGTTGTTCAGATCTTTTCCTAGTGACTCATCCCATACCCCTTTGCATCATCCTCATATTTTTATTTCTTCAAACCGGTCCTTCCTCCCTAATTTTTTAGCTGTTTTAGAAGGAGAGCTCTCCCTTCCTTATATTTCACTCTTCTGTGATCATTCGAACCCAGAAAACTTTTGTGCCCTATTTGTTGCTACTTAGCTCATGCCTCTTACTTTTGAGGATTCCAGCTTCAACTTTACATTCCTTGGGATTCCTCCAAGGATAAATCTCCTTCTACCTCTATGGGTTGGGTTTGCCAATTTTTATGTTTGGTCTTATCCTTATAAGGTATAGTCTCTTACAGACACTGTGCATTTTGTCCCATGAGGTTCACCATCTCTAATTTTCTTGCTACTCATTTCTGGTGGTTGTTGGATGAGATCCTTCAAGCTGGCATGTGGACTACCTTGCATAACATTGTTGCCCACTCTCTTCACATCTGGCTGTCTCGACTCCTGAAGATCACTGCCTGACTCTGTTCACTATCCTACAGTCTACCCCCTGTAATAAGTGTAAATGGCAACAGGTAGATTATTTCAACAGTGTATGTTTTAACTATGTATATGTCAAAATTGAATAACTATTTGTAAGAATTTAGAACTTTCAATATCAGAAATTATTGATTCACTTTATGCTGAGAAGTTGAACCTACACAAACTTTCCTTTAATTTACAAAATACTAGTCTTACTGCTGATGTGTTTTATGTTTTGTCTGATTTCAATTTCTAAAAAAATGTAGTTTAGTAAAGCATTTTTAGTTTACTCTCTAGGTTTTTTATGGCTTTAGATATTTTAGATTTACTTCTGTTTATCAAATTATTTGTTATTATGCATAGCAGTTCTGCATTCATTTTTCAAATTTTTACCAAAGTAGTCTACGTAATAGTAGTTTGCACTAATAAATAATTTAAAAGTATAGAATTGTAATAGTAATAATGAAAATCAATCAAAATGTGACAGATTGTGTAGTCTTTCTGTTCATCAGATATTCTTTCAAACTATGAATTGTGCTGATTCTGTGGAAGTGTTTATCGTAAGTTAATATTCCACCATCAATAAAACTTTTCCTTGTGCTTATAATGTCATGATGTCAGAAAAACAACGAGATTCAATAACTCTTGATACAAAATGAGCACTTTCAAAAGGTGGACCATTCTTATGCTAATAACTCATTGTTTGCCTACCTATTATTATATTAGCATAATGTACTTCCTTACTAAAGTACGTACATGTACTACATTTTAAAGGAAGAACCTATGAATGCATATTCCTTAACTTGTTTATGCTACATATGAATTACTGCAGACTGTGATATATGTATGCTATTTTTTCACGAGTTTCTTCTGATGATATCGATGTTTTATTTGTGATTGTGTTGGTAAGATCTTCATTTGATATTAAATTTTTTAATCTTTAATTAGTATTAGTGTAAAAACTTTTCATATGACTGGACATATGTTATAAGATATCAGTATGGAGGACTGATACTGATCTTCATATTTTTTGTGTTGTTTTAGTGGATTTGATATTCTTTAGCTACAGTAATAATGTACTAAAGGTAGAAAAGTAGCTTTAGAAATTTATCATAAACTACAAGAATTATAAAAAAGATGAAAGATTAATCTTAGAACAAGTTGTTCTAAAATAATATCACTATTGGGAAGTGTTTTACAGTATTGCTTTTCAGCTTACTTTTAATTCCAAATGTTGGTGTCATATTTTACAGCTCCATTTTGCTCCAGACACTTGCAAAATCCATATCACCAGCTTATTTGAGATTTGGTGGGACAAGTGCTGACTATCTTTTTTTTAACAAGACAATGGATGATAGAAGTTTAATAAAAAACCTGAATGTTTACCATGGAGATTGGTATCAGACCCCTATAATTTCAAACATCACTTTAACAGGTAAATGATTCCAGAATTAAAGTACACTTAATATTTCAATTTTAATTTTTGTAACAAAAGTATACTCTGTGGTAAAAAGATATGGATATCATGTTTTATGAATATAAAGAAAAAGTTCAGATTGTTGAATTTACTTTAAAAAAAAAAAAAAAGCAAAAAACTTTGGAAATGTCAAGACTTCTGTTTTCATTTGTAATGAATATTAAGTTTGATAATTTCTAGTTGGGGTTGGAGTTTAATTAGCATGTTATTGTTGGCAGTAGTTATCTTGCCAGCCCATCCAAACATGGCTACCAGTTTGGATCTCAGAAATATTACCTCTGCACCACTAAGAATATTGTTACATCTCCGTTTGTTAATTAACTTTCCGTAACTTTGTTCCGACGAAACTTAAGCGACACAAGTCTTTTCTTAATAAAACTAGTTTATTCTTTCCAAATATAACTTTACTGATACACTCAACTTCAACAATCGCGCTAAACAAACGCTGTAACGTCTCGTGCTC